CATAAATAAAGAACTGGACAAAATAACATGAACTCGTCTTATTTGATTACGTTCTCATTAGCTGCTTGAAACCTATAAAATTTTGAAGACAAGTCATTTGAAAGTTTACATACTCATCATAGTAAAATTGGACATATAAGGTGTTGTAAATAAGTACAATATGTAAGAGATTCTGGATTATCAGATGGTAAAAAGAGATCATAGCGGTAAAATAATTTATCGATGATATAATGAAGACAAAAATTAATATTTTAAAGAGAGCAAGAACAAAGGTTGGTGCAGAATAATGTGAATTCATTTTGTCTCGTTAGGTTCTCATCAGCTGCTTACAACCCAAATTATTTGAAATTCAAAATTATTACAAATATTGACATATTTATACAATAAGAGGGTGATTAAAGATGAATAAATGAGTCATGGTGTAGCGAAGGTTTCGATAGAGTTAATGAGGTCATAAAATTCTGTCTCGAAGAGATAGAGTTTGAGAGGGAAAGTTCCAGAACATTGAAATAGTGATTAGAACTCATGAAAATAGATTAATGGTAATAAAGAAAATATGAATTGAAATCAGTTAGTTATGTATTTATTGCGTCATTATTCCAACTCCTTCTAAAGTTTAAATTGCATCATACATAACTGATTGATTTCAATTCATATTTTCTTTATTACCATTAATCTATTTTCATGAGTTCTAATCACTATTTCAATGTTCTGGAACTTTCCCTCTCAAACTCTATCTCTTCGAGACAGAATTTTATGACCTCATTAACTCTATCGAAACCTTCGCTACACCATGACTCATTTATTCATCTTTAATCACCCTCTTATTGTATAAATATGTCAATATTTGTAATAATTTTGAATTTCAAATAATTTGGGTTGTAAGCAGCTGATGAGAACCTAACGATACAAAATGAATTCATATTATTCTGCACCAACCTTTGTTCTTGCTCTCTTTAAAATGATAAAGGGAACTATGTGTACAAAAATTAATAGTAATCACGAATTAAACAGGTTGAAGTCAGTCAATTAAATACAAAATTATGAACGTGAAAGAAGTGATGTAATCGGAATAAGAGAGAAAATATTGTAAGAATGATGTAATAAACTGACAATAAAGTCAACATAAAAAGCAAAGATTTATAACATTTTTTTTAGATGCATAAGCCCAGTTTTAAATGTTTCATGGCTATGACATTGGCAAAATTGAACGGAATGAAATCTAACTGTCGATTGATGATTCTGAAAGATTTTAGTATATCGACTTGATGCTCTGTGTTACAGAGATGTCCAGAAAATACAGTGCTAAAACCCTTTAATCCTATTGATCTGAGACTGTTTGGGATATATTCTTTAGTCCAAAAGTAGGGCCTTTTTTCTGTTCTATCAATGTAATTGCTTTAGCAGGTACATATAAATTTATATACCCAGTTTACGGTAACTTGAAAGAACTAACTATAAATCCTCGGTTGGAGTAAAGAACATGTTTTATACAAGAAAATCAGTTTGGCTCCAGGAGATACTCTGTTCAGCGTGGTTTTCAATCTCGTTTATTGTCACTGCAACACCGTCACTTTTTGATCCAAGGTGAGTGTTTATTGTCTACTGTAGTTTCTTTAGAACTTTTGTCCTAACTTTTCCCAATAAATGTCTTTGGATACTCTTTGTTCATAAGGCATTTTTAGCGTTCATTAATTTGACTTCTAGTATATTGGTGGTACTATTCTTTCTGTTCTGTGAAATAAAGTTTTGATAAGTGTCTTTTTATAACTAACAGAAAGAAGCTAGTGAAATTCAGATAAACACTATTCCATGTATCTTTTCGATAAATTGAACGCTGAATTATAACATCCTCACCCCGTTTTATGGCGATATCATAAAAGCTAATATCGAGTAATTCCAAAAGCATACGAGATTGAAAATACTAATAAAATACTGGTAAAACACTAGCAATTAACAAATATCCTTTGGATAATTAAAATAACTCAATGTGTCAATAAATAAAAACAAAAAGAATTCAGCGAAGAAAATTTTCTTTTCGACAAAATCACTTACTCAAGTTGTACATTCGTATTTCTACTTGTGTGGTAAATAAATGTCTATAGAAGGATATAAAAGATTACATCATAAATTGATTCGAGACTCTTATTATCAAATGAGGTTATGCAATAATCAAGGGGTAAGAGAAGAATAGAAGAATAAAAATAACTTACTGGTCAGAATTATGAAAGATAATTGTCCACTTGAAGAAAAATGAAAAACATAGTGGTTATAATAATAACTGAATGAGGATCATGAAAAATTGTAAAGAATAATAATAACTGATTACGGTTTTAAATTACAAAACAATAATAAGAATAAAACGAGACTAAAGCATGCTTCGGAAGGGAATTAGTCCCATGAAAGTATAAGAGGTTAGACGTGTCGTCTGTGCACACAGGGTTTGAACTTGAATTAGTGGATCTCCTACGCCTTAACAGTGCATAAGTTTTTGTGACAGCCTCATTTCGACCTAGTTCCTTTAAATAAGTAGATTATTTTGAAGGAACACTACTTTGAAGCGATGTGTCCAGAGTTGACTAGGTGCTCCTGTATTGAACTGATGATTGTTTTGAATTCTTCTTTTAAAAGCCACACCGGGTAATGTTCTTGGATGCGTTTGAAAAGTAACCGCTATATCTTCATATTCTTCTCTAACCCCCTGATTAATACTCAACCTCATTTGATGTTTGAAATCTCGAATCACTCTACGATACAATCTTTTATATCTTTCTACAGTTATATATATTTAACAAACAACTGTAAATACGAATGTACAACTTAAGCAAATGATTTCGTCGAAAAAATTCCCTTATTTTGAAGAACCATAAGCTCTACTACTAAAAGTCTACTAAGAGTTCATAGAGAATTGTCATCAGAATTGAAAACGTTTCGTGATGTTTATAAGGATTGTACGCTTTCCTCATTTTTATCTAATTTCGTTGTAGACATTCTTTTAGTGATGATCATTTCTTTGTCTAATTACCTTTGGATTAATCTCCTACCAAAATGTTCACTTCTTAACTTAAAACACAGAAATTACGTAGTATTATTTGGTAAAGAAACTGAAGAAATATAGTCTTTTGATCCTTTTTGGTGGCAATGTAAGCATATGTAGATTCATTTCTATCCCTCTAAGTGCAAAATCTTTCTTCTGGACTGGTTTTCACCTACTACTATATTACTGATAGGGGGTGAAGTATTTAATGAAGTTGACCACAAAACCTATAAGGGAAGTTTCATCAATTATTGTAGTTTGTTGTCCGTTGAAATCTCGAAGTGGATTCAGACTCTCTTGGCTTTCATCAACTCGTATCACTCGGGACACGAGTATGCTGCAAAGCATTTCACTTAGTTTTTCTTTACTTTTATGAAACATTGTCTCTAAATACAGAGGATTTTCGAATATTGCCAGTGTTTAATAATAAATACCTTCAAAACATTCCTCGAGAATGTTGAGCCAAGCTTAGGTTAGACTTAAAGTAACGGATAAAGGTGACTGTTTATGTAATGAGGTAGTACATTTTCATCCACTGAGGTTGTTTGGATATGTATCACTTATATACAGCCACCAACTACCTCGACGCGGTATGCTGTCTGGTGTAGAAGTAGGTTAGATGGAAGCTAGATCTAGCCTCAGTCAATAAGGTCATTGATAGTTGAGTTGAGCCATCTTAGTAGATGTGGGTTACCTTTTTGGATATAGGGTAATTCCGATGGAACTTTGTTCTTTGAGCTCAAAGAACATCCCCTGAGCTACAAATCTTCTTCACCATATTGTAATTTTCCTAATCAATAGTTAGTTACGATTTGATGTTATGGTTCAGAATATTTCTCAATGGAAGAGATGCATTCACTGTTCGTCTTCTTTAGAGTCTTGGGTTTTAAATTTACTGTATACCTTTTATTCCACAAATTTACTTTTTAACTTTTAGTCATATCGTCTACGTCGAATTTTTTCAACTTTCGCTGATATTATTACTAATTCTAATTATCTGGGAGTTATTTTGTCAATTTCATCACGTTTCAATGATATATCATCGCAACTTGCTCCGAATCGTAAATATCCAGATTCTACATTAATTATCACTGACTAAATGTTTTTGTTTTGAATATCTAGATACTGATCGACAAAGCGAATACGCAAACAATAAGGAATTCATTATTTTCATTAAGATTAATTTGGAATTTGTATAGAATCGTGTTAACGAACTCTTACAATGATCAACTTTTTTTCAAACTTTATTTTTTAAACATAAATGGGTATCATTCCATAGTTCAGTTGACAGAATCCGGCTATATGCACAGAAAAAGACATTGAAATCCGCAAAATATGGCGATTAGTTAACGTGAACCAGAAATTAATAAATATTCGTGACAAGTAGTCTTTTGCCGACTCACATTTCTGTTGAGATTTCAGTCAATAAAACGTTCTATATTATTAAAGTATTCGTTGATACATCAGTGATTACCTAAGTTTTGTCAAACCTAATCATATTATTGATAGAACATCTCGTGTACGCAGAACTTAATGTAATCAAAGACTCGTTATTTGTTACAAAAGACTAAATACATCACGTCTTTTTCACTCATTTCACTCTCTTCGAGATTTAATCCTAACTTACTATGTAATTTGTGGTTGTCTGTGGTGATATATGTTTGCAAAAAATAAGATTTGGTTGGCGTATTTTTTTAGCATAATAAGTAACATGGATTTGGCTTAGCATGCAAAGTTAGAAAGATATATGTACATAACCGTGATTGACATGGTCTAAATTTAATGGTTCTATAATAAATTACTTACAATTTTTAAGTAGTATAGTATTTTTAAGAAAATTAAAAACATAAGATGTGTACACCACATGCATAGCCTGCTATCATGAAATTGTTCCAGCTGATTAAAATCATGACCCTGGAGAATTTTCTTCGGTATTTAACATCTAATAAGTTGCTAAGTGCATTCATAAACATCTCTGAGTTACAGTTTCAATATTACATTCATCACATTGCACTTTGAATCCATAGGCCATTCGGCAGTTACATTGAACAATTTCTCGTTTGGTCACATTTCTGTAACCACGACCACAACACATATTCACACAATTTGATGTCCCCGTATCTTTCAATGTACAAATTCTGTTTACAAATGAGAAATAACGTAAAATGCTTTCAGCACGTAATTTGACTTAAAGAGAATACACAATCACTCTGTATAGTCGAAAATTCTGATATTCGCATTTCATTTATTGACCGTATTAAATTTATAACAACTTAAAGATCATGACTTTTAGCTTGGTCACTTATGGCTGTGTATTTTGTTTTCTATTTAGCCGTTAACCTTAACCTAGTTAAAGATTGACAGGTTTTAGCTATATCTGTGTTACACGATAGCTCAACTGTCGTTCAAATTATAACTTTACATATGTCTTTGAGGAACTGTAAGAGAGATAATGTGATAATATATTAACATTATAATTCTCTTATTAATATAATGACTGAAATTCACAGAAACAAAATCTGTGAAAATGCTTATCATTTGATTGAGCTGAATTATTTTGACATAATGCTCAAACAAATTATTATTTCAAAATCATGAATGTATCTTTGAACCTTTAACTAATTCTAACAATGTGAACTTACATTTACATTTCGCTGTTATTCTGACTAATGAATATTTTCACCATAAATCTATTGTTTAATATAATTAAGTTTCTTTCAATGAACAATTTTACAGGAAACGATACGCATAGAAACTTAGTTACTCACACATCACATGGTATTTTTATAACTTACCTATCTCGTGTACCAACAGAACCTCTTTGAGGTTCTACATTACAATAATCTGGTGAATGTTCACTAAATACCAGTTCTTCCGGTTTTACTACTTCATCGATAAATCCATTACCAATAAATGTTTTGGCGATTAATTCACCATTTTTACCTTCCGAAACCTGTTTGGCTGCCTTATTTTCGAGAAAATGAGAATAAAAATATATCAATAATGAAAGTAAGGATAGATAAAAGAATATCTGTAACAATTATGTACTAGCTTCTAAATGTAATTCCAGGAGTCATAGTGAGAAGCCATAACTAGTACATTAAACTATAACAGGCGTCAGATAGTTACTTACCCTGGGCAATCAAAATTTGTTGTATAATGTTATGATTTCAGAAAAGTTAGACACGTATAACATTGAATTTCATCTCATTGGGTACAGAGGTTAAGCAAACACCGTAAAACCGAAGGTTTTCGGTAAGATCTTGGATACATACAATTGACGAACCCCATACTAAGATGAAATATATGTCCTGTATTTCATATTCTTCAATTATTATCTAACTGCTATCAAACAATGATACAGACTGTCTAGAAAAATATTCATTCATTAGTCATTCTGAAAATTCATGGATAAACAAATAAAAACAAATGTGATAAACACTAAATTTAATACTGTTAAGTATATTTTATATTAATTTGTTGATTAATGAACAATGTGAAATGTACACAAATTTATTTTATTTAAACTTACTAAGTATCTCATTTTTAATGCTTTTTGCATTAATTCTGTATCGATTCGTCGAAGTTGACGAAAACAAACACGTTGAGCACAACTACCACTAACTCCATGACATTTGCATACCAGTTTTTGATTAGCTTCCATTAACTAAAATGAAATGATAAATTTGTTAAACAAAGTTTGTTATCCTTTTCTCTTATTATGTAATCAATAATGAATACCGTTTAGCGATAAAAAGTTTATTTTTGGTGGTTCATTTATTATTCCTGTACAATTGTATGAATAGTTATTTCTGTACATAGTAATTTACAGTAAAATACAAAGTGGCCGCGTCATTAATAGTATAAATCCTATATTAATATGAAAGGTAGTGATATGGAATAAGGTGAAAATAATGATTGTTCACTTGATTTATATAAAGGTGAAGAATGAGTTAATCAGTATAAACCACAATATGTATGACTAGAAAGCATGTTAAGATTATGGGAAAATAAGAGATTCAACATGCCCTTTTTTTCCATAAAGATCCAGTTTAAACTGATCAGTTGTTGAAATCTCAGTTATGAATAACATTTACTGCTAAACGATCGCAAGCGAGACCGATAGGCCGTAATTTCAAATCTCGCCGGGCGGGATCGTGGATGCGCACTGCTAAGGAATCCCACAATGGGACGAAACGGCCGTCCAGTGCTTCCAGGTTTTCCATGGTGGTCTAGTTTCAATTGACTTATGATCTCAGCTATTAGAATTACTATAATATCCACAAAACCCTTTTTGATGTTATCTGTGTGTTTTCCAGTTAATTATTTACGTTTAGGTTTGGAAATAACTTCTACTATAGAATTAATGGAACATAGGTCTTTTGCTGTGCTCTAGATTTTGTTGCATCGTGACTTACTTGACACATCCGTAGCACGATGAAGTGCTATTTTTGTCATAGAAAACTTTATATTTTTCATGTAAGCCAGCAAAACTACGGAGAACGAAACGCTCTCCATCACTGATTACGATAGTGCAAATAATAATTTCCACTTTATTTTGATCGGTTACCAAGTGCAAGGTCAAAACTGCAAACGAGAGTGGAGTTTATTCTTACCCAGGGTTAGTGTTATTAGGTTTATAGTTTAGTATTATTATTGATTAATGGATCCTAATGAAATCAATAAACAGTTCAGGTTATATAATTTATTGAACTAATTGTTCCAGTAAATTAGTGATTAAACAAGCTTTTTATTAATCTGAAATATGGTACTAGGTTTTCTGAAACAGGATACATCCTTGTGATTTTACAGAACATTCGTTTTCCAATTTTCAATATGCGTCTGATATCAAGTATTTTTAGATAATTTCAGCTCATTTGATATGTGATTAATGTACATAAGAGCATAACTTTCAATAAAGATTACAATTCAAGCTGTAATTTCCACTTTATTTGCTCTTCTCATCTAGTAGATTGTGATACGTTATAGTGACGTATTCATAGAAGACATATGTAGATATCTTTAACCAATTGAAATAAAACTCGTAATGAAAATTATCATCTCACATCCAGTACTCACCCGCTAAATGGACGGAAAAATGTTTTGAAAACGTTAGATATTACATTTTTATTTAACACTGACAAATGAACAGATAACCTCATACAATTTCCTTAATAACGTTGTCAGTTATGAGTGGTAGAGTGTAGATTATTACAGATAATGAAATAATACTATGAATTCCATAGTATAACTATTGTTTAGTTTTACATTCTGAATTAAATATAAACAAGCCAAATTCTTTTTGAATTCTTTTTCTTAGTGGTTCACAGTGAAACAACCCATTTTAAGTATGAACAGTATATTTAAGAAAACACTGTCGAAATGAATATGTTATATGATCGCATTGGTTGAAAAAGATTGATATAAGAGTGAAGAGAAATAATTATATCAAGGAGTAAGGTCAAATGTTTAGTTCCAATGTGACAAATACAGCAATGTTGTGACTGATTCAGTGAGAGGATGAACAGTGAAACAACTCAGAAACATTTTGGTACTAAATGTATTTAACAAAAAGTAATCTGAAGCTTATGTGTTCGATCAACCAAATATTTTGAAAAGATGGGTACTATCCATGGGTAATGAGTCAGAATTACTGATTGATCAGCAATTAGTTGAAACTACACTTATAAACCATAAGCAAGTGACATGATGATCAATAAAACAACACATATCCCTCGACTCTATGGCATACTTGTGATTCGTAAACCTGAGATTCATTTACGTTCAATTCTAGACAAGTCAAATTCACCATACCATTCAATAACAAAATGGTTGGTGAAATTGTTAGAACCATTACACCAATAATTGGTTAAGTACAGCTTTAAAGACATATTAGAACTTGCGGATACAATGAAAAAAGAACATAAATAGCCAAACCATATTATCACTAAACATAACATCTTTTTTGACTAACTTCCTACTGAATGAAACTATTGATTACATATGTGAACAACTGCTAGAAAAGAAAACAGAGATGCCGATCCCAATAAATAAAATGAAGGAGCCTTTGTTGAAATGTACTGTGAATATCTACTCTATGTTTAACACTGAATTTTACAGACAAATAGATGGAGTTGCAATCGGATCACTCTTAGGCCTGATCGTAATTCGAAAGACACACTAAATAAGTTAGGTTATTACCGCCGATACATAGATGACACACTAATCGTGTGTGACGGAAGTATCCACAAACAAGAGCTGTTGAACTGTTTCAGTAACGTCCATCCAATTATTAAGTTCACCAGCGAAGAAGAGAACGTCAATATTATAGCTTGCCTTTATATCCTAATTTCTAGGTTCCATAAAAAGAACTATATTTAGAAAGAGTGCATGAACGGGTCAATATACTCATTTCCATGGCTTTACACCTCTTCAATACAGAACAAATTTGGTTAAATGTCTCAGCCACAGAATCAAACAATTATGTTCTGAAGATAGAGTAGATATAGAGAAAGGCACACTGAAAAACATAACAAAATAACGATTATCCAGATAATTTCGTCTGAAAATTCCTATTAGGAGGTATTAAAAAAACAAGAAACTGTGACTCGATCAGTAAAAAAACCCTATATGTGAAACTGGACTTTAAAGAGGACGTAGCGGGTTACATTTTAACACGTCGACTCAAAAGATCTGTTGAAAGGACGTTTCGTGACACCAGGTTACACACAATTCCTCCAACTAAACAAGTTCTTACAAAAAACAAATTAAGGATAGGTTGTTGATGATGTGCTCCTCCATAGGTGTGAACCAATTCAACTGCTCCTGTGGAGCTCGTTACATAGGCCGTACTCAGAGGGCTTTATCTTTGCGTATTTATGAACATGTCCCGGCATGGTTGGGAAAGGGAGTTACTAAGTCGATTAACTGTACCTTTCTTTCTCACTTGGTATATAGTGAACATCATATTAGAATGGAGGAGGCTTTCTTTGTTTTATACCAAGTTCCAAAAATTCTACGTTAAAAAGAGCTAGATTATAGCTACTCTACATATAACTGAAGCTATCTGGACTAACTCCTAAAAACCGAACTTATATATCCAGAAGGAATATATTCAACCTATATGTTTACCTTGGCTCACGACTGGACCACCTGATACCTAAACTAAATATTATACACTTCTTACCCCTTCCCAATTATTTTTGTGTTGATAACTTTCTTAATCTGCACACTTATCTTTTCCAATTCACGTGAATTCTTTTTACAGTAATTACCTTGATAACACCCCCCTTGTTAGATATCACGTTCACACAACGATATTATTATTATTACTACCTCGACTAACATGAAGAAATTCTCCTACTATGCATTTTATTCACATGGTTTTTTTTTCATTTTCACCTTGTGATATTACTATTATTCTGATTGTGCCTTGACACTTTACTCCAAATTATTCTGACCTTTATTAAATGACCTTTGTAATTTATAAATAACACGATTTCGAGGTATATGTGTTGTAACAGATGCAAATATTCATCATTTTTAATATATAACTTTTATATCCTAATGAAGATTAAATTACGGATAACTTCTGTGGGCTATTAATGGACTAATACATATAATATTATTAAAAATATATATATATATATATTCTTATTGTATAACTATTGAGTAACTAGATTATGTATATCTGTACTCCTCTTATTCCACGCTTTATTTGGATCTATAGACTATTATGATGCGATTAACTATTCTAAAATTATACTTAGTTTATTGATTACAACCTCCCACGTTCACAGCCACTTTTTGGCTTGATCTTCTATAAATATTAATTCTTATCTTATGGTGTGATGAGGTCTGTTTGGCTTGCATTTAAACCAAGTATGTTTGAAATAAATGATTCGCATAGCGGAAGCTGTTATTGGCACTCTGGACTTAGTTGGGAGAGTCAGGAGAACAAAGGACCAATAAGGACGCTTGGCTGTGCATACCGGTCGAAAGTCATTGGTTTGGTACAGTAATAAGATTGTATAAGTTGCATTTCGATTGGTGGATAAATCACCTGATAATTAGCTGGGCTTACAAGTCACAGCAACAACATTGTCAAATTCACTAATGCATGCTTTATTTTGGCCTTTAAAATATCACAAGAATTATGGACTTATGACTGTAGAGCCTGATGATGAATTTATTGAAAACAATTTTTCGCTCAAATATTCTTCATTTTTGAAAAGAAAGTCTACTGAATGATCTATTGAATTGACATCAGTTAGTTTACATGTCGCATATTGTGCGACTAATATTAAATGCATTTAGTGACACTTGTGTGACATCTACGATGACTGACAAATGGAGTTTTACAGTTATCTAGCTAAAGTCAGTCTTCAATTTAAAACTTGCTTGCGTAAACAACCTTGAATAAAAAAATGTTAACCAGAAACGAAATCAATTAAAAACTACAAAATGAGTAATCTCTGGAATACCTCAATGCTAAGAAGAAATTAATTAATTCCCTCAATTAGTTAAATAGGAGTGGAGCCCAACCGTATCGGCTGGAGACAATTATCCATCTCAGATAATTGATAAACGGTTGCGCAAGGTCATGAATCGATTGAAATGAGACATTAACACCGTTCGATGCCGAATCAATGTTCGCGTATGTAACAA